TGTTGAGGTACTTTCCTTCTATACCTATTTTATTAAGGGTTTTAATCATAAATGGATACTGTATCTTGTCAGATGCTTTTTCTGCATCTATTGATATGATCATATGATTTAAATCCTTTATTTATGTGGTATATCACATTGATCAATTTGCATCTAATGAACCATCCTTGTGCCTCTGGAATGAGCCCTACTCGATTGTGATGTGTAATCTTTTTAATGTATTGTTGTGTTGGATTTGCTAATATTTTATGATTTTTATATCTGTATTCATCAGAGATATTGGTAGTTTTCTTTTTTGTACATTACCTTTACCAAGTTTTGATATCAAGATAATGTTGGCCTCATACAATGAGTTAGGAAGTATTGCTTCTTCTTCAACATATTGGAAGAGTTTGAGAAGAACAGGTATTAAATCATTTTTGAATGTTTGGTAGAATTCACTAATGAAGGCATCTCATCCTGGACTTTAACTTTTTGGGAGGTTTTGATGCTTGTTTCAATTTTCTTACTGTTGATTGGTCTGTTTAGATTTTCTAGTTCTTCATGATTCAGTTTAGGAAGGTTGTATATTTCTGAGAACTTGTACATATCTTCTAGGTTATTAAATTTGGTGGCATACAATCTTTCATAGTATTTTTGTATGATAGCTTGTGTTTTGGTGGTATCCGTCATAACTTCTCTTTCATTTCTGGTTTTATTTGTGTCTTGTCTCTTTTCTCAGTGAGACTAGCCAGGGGTTGTTAATTTTTTTTGATCTCTTCAAAGAATCAGCTCTTTGTTGCATTAATTTTTCTTATTGTCTTTTTGTTCTCGATTTTATTTAATTCTGTTCTAATTTTTCTTTTGCTGACCTTGGGCTTCATTTGTTCTTTTTCTGGTTCTTTAAGATGTAATGTTAGGTTGATTATTTGGGATTTTTCTTGTTTCTTGAGATAGACCTGTAATGATATGAACTTTCTTCTTTTTACTGCTTTTGCTGTATCCCAGAAGTTTTGATATGTGTATTTTCATTCTCATTTGTTTCTGTATATCTCTCAATCATTCTTTTTATTTCTTCTTAGACCCAGTCGTTCTTTAGTACCATGTTGTTTGATCTCTACATATTTGTGATTTTTCCCGCTTTCTTTTTGCAGTTGAATTCCAGTTTAAATCATTGTGGTTGGAGAATATGCTTGGTATGATTTCAGTCTTCTTGAATTTGTTGAGATAGTTTTGTGTCCCAACATACGGTCTATCCTTGAGAATGTTCCATGTGCACTAGAGAAGAATGTATAATCTGGTGTTTGAGTATGAAGGGCTCTGTAAATGTCAATTATGTCCAACTGGTCTAATGTCTCATTTAAGGTTGATATTTCCTTGTTGATTTTCTGTTTGGATGATCTATCCATAGCTGACAGTGGAGTATTTAGGTCCCCTACTATAATTGGGTTTTTGTCAGTTACTCCCTTTAGTTCTGTTAGTAGTTGTTTTATGTATTTTGGTGCTTCCTGGTCAGGAGCATATATATTGATAAGTTTTATGTCTTCTTGATGTATTGTCCCCTTTATCATTATGAAATGTCCATCTTTGTGTCTTGTTACCTTTTTATCTTAAAGTCTGTTTCATTAGATATAAATACTGTTACACCGCTTTTCTCTGGATGCCATTTGCTTGGAGGTATGTTATCCACTCTTTCAGTTTGAGTTTGTATTTTTCCCTGCAGCTGAGATGTGTTTCTTGAAAGTTGGGTTTTGTTTGTTGATCCAGTCCTTTTTACCAGTGCTTTTTTACTGGTGAGTTCAGTTCATTTACATTTAGGGTGATGATTATGTGAGGTTTTCCTATAGCCATTTTATCTTCTGTTATCTGGTAGCTTGGTGTCTCCATTGTTTCTTTACCCTTATGTTTCTCTTTGTTATTTCAGTTTGGTCATATTCTATGATTTTTCCCTCTGTTTCTTCTTTTTTATGTTATGTGTCTGATTTCTAGGGGTTTCTTTTACATGGCTATCATTAAGTTTATGTAAAACAAAGTTTTGTATATACATTAGTCCTTTTTCTTCTGCGTACATCTTCATTCCTTTTTGTAAATTCAGACCTTTTCTCCCTCCCTTTTTCTGTTTTTTTTTTTTTTTTTGGTCTCAAATTATCCCTGTTTATGCTGTGAGTTCATTTCTGAGTTATAGTAGCTATTGTCTTTTTTAAAAATGTTTTTGCTTCCTTTAACCATTATGTAATATTTAAGATGATAATACTTTATCTGAATAAAGGTTGTGTTTTCTTATTTCTTTGTTATCTTGCACATAGTTGTGTATCTTTCTGTCCTTTTGTTTCAGTATAATAACTCCGTTCAGTATTTCCTGTAATGCAGGCCTTATGGTGGAAAATTCCTTCAGCTCCTGTATATCTGAAAAGGTTTTTATTTCACCTTCACATCTAAAAGAAAACATTGCTGGATATATTATTCTTGGCTGGTGATTTCTCTCTTTCAATAGTTTGAATATGTGATTCCACTCCCTCCTAGCTAGTAAAGTTTCTGCTGAAAAGGTCAATGATAATTGAATGGGTTACTGTCTTTTTTTCCCTGGCTATCTTGAGAAGTCTTTCTTTGTCATTAATTTCTGATATTTTTAATATAATGTGTCTTGGAGACAGCGTTTTTAGATTGAGATAATTAGGTGTTCTCTTTGCTTCTCCAATTTGAGGATTCAGTTCTTTTCATAGGCTTGGAAAGTTCTTGTGACCATTTGTTCGAATAGGCTCTCTGTTTTCTTCTTCCTCCCCTCTCCTTATGGTATACCTATTATTTTTATATTGCCCTTTCTGAGGATGTCAGATAGTTCTTGTAGAGTTCTTTTATTTTTTTTTTTCACTCTTAAGTCTCTCTCTTCTTCCATCTGTGTCATTTCTAGATATCTGTCTTCGATATCACTAATTCTTTGCTCTATCTGGTCAGCTCTTTCATAAGCTCATTGTTTCATTCTTTTATTGAATTCTTCAACTCAGAAGTTCTATTTGGTTCTTTTTTAAAGTTTATTTTTTTGATAAAGTATTTTTGTTGTTAATTGATTTTGTTGCTAAGTTCATTAAACTGTCTATCTGATTTTTCTAGCATCTCATTGAGTTTTTTCAGAACTGCAATCTTAAATTCTCTGTCATTTAAGTTGTATATTTCTGTATCTTTAAGTTTAGTTTCTGGATATTTTTCATTTTCTTTCTGAGCTGCCTTGTAATCTTGGTTGTCCATGGTATTCGATGGATTATTTCTCTGCCTAGGCATTTATGGAAATGTACTCTGCTTTTTAAAAATTTTATTATTAAGAGTAATCTTTCTTTAGCAGGTTGATAAAAAGAGGTTTTTCTATTGTTTTCCAGTAGGTGGAGCACAAACCTCCTGCATCGCCCAGGCCTCTTGGATCTCTGCTGTGAGGCACTAAAAATGCGCTTTATTCCCTGGGGAGGTGTGTGTCTCCTCTTGAGACCAGGTATCCTCAGCCCCAAGGTTCCTGTGGAAGAATGTGATGGGCATGGGGTTTTGAGCCTCTGAAGAGCCCCTGAAATCCTGGTGCTGCCCCAGCAGCCAGATAGAGTGTTGTGCTGCCTGAGGTGCCCCAGTGCCTCTCTGCCTGGGTGGGTGGGGGTTGGGTAGGATGGGAGAGTCTGTTGGTGTGCCTGTGGCTGTTTTCCTTCTAGTTAATGCTGACTGCCAGGCTTCAGCTGCTTGGCCTCTGTATCTCCACCCCTGTCACTGGGACCAGCTGCTGTGTATATCTCCTCAGATCCCCGGTTGCAGACTTTCTGCTCTGTAGCCCAACACTTGTTGCAGTTTCCCTGGGGCCTGCTGCTAGCCTGGGGAGGGTGCAGGAAGGTGAGCTGTGGGAGGGTGGGGGTAATGTAGCCAGGCTTTGTGACTCAGCTTTCTCCCTGGCAATGGCAGTTGCTAGAACACAGCTGTCGCACTTCTGTAAGAATACCCTGTCTGTGCCCTGGTCTCTGTCCTTATCACCGGGTTCCGCTGCCATAGTACATGCTGATCACTCAGGCAGGAACGCTCAGGGCTACAGAGAGAGTACACCTCAACCTGATTCCTCCCCTCTCCCTGAGTCCCACAGGGAGCTCCAGGTTGTTTCTGTAGCGCCAGTCTCTGCTCCTCTCCCTTTCTTCCTCCCTGGTTTGTTCAGTTCGCTCACCTTCAGATACTCTAATGTGTGTTAGGCTGGGAATTTTCTGTTAGATTGTACCTGTTCAGTTTGTTGTCATTTCAAAGGGAAAGATCAAGGGGACCCCTCATGCTGCCTTGCTTCTGATGTCACTCCTACTTGGTTCTTTTTAAGTTCTTAATTGAAAGGCATATACTTGACTATTTCTTTTTTAACACACTTTTTTCAACTCGACTACTGTGATAGCACATTCTCCAGAATTTTCTCCCCTCTCTGGGGCCATATCTGTCTCTGACTTATCTTTTTCTGCCTATTTAACCTCTGAATATTGGCATTTCTTAGCATTTAGATCTGGTCTCTGTTTTCTTCTTAAACTTCAGTTAATTTTATCTATTCCTTGTGGCTTTAAATAGTCTGTCTACCCTTCTCAAATATATATCTCCAGCTTGGCCGTTTCTTCTGTTTTCACCTTTGGAAAGTTTCATGTGAGCCATAAAAACTTACATCTCAAAGGACAGAAAGAAAATGTAATAAAGTATTAATGGTGGTGATATTATGGATGATTTATAGTTCATTCTCCTTTATTTGACTTTCTATAGATTTTCTATAGAACTTTGAAGTTTACAAAGCAGTCCCAAATATTTAATTTCATTTTAATTAGGTCTCTCAACAACAGACCTTGAGCTCCTAGATATCAGCTAGTAACTGAACTTCCAAAGTAGGACCTCAGTCCTCAACGTGAGGTTTCTGTGGGATGTATACCATGCCATCTCATTTGAAGCAGAATGTTTAAATCTTTATCAAGTTTGGGTGTGCTCTGGCTGCCAGGCAGTTACTTATAGTGTCAGTTTTGCTCTTGCAGGTGGATTTGACATGGAAGTAAAAGGTTGGGGTGGAGAAGATGTTCATCTTTATCGAAAATACTTACATGGTGACCTCATTGTGATTCGGACTCCGGTTCCTGGTCTTTTCCACCTGTGGCATGAGAAACGCTGTGCTGATGAGTTGACCCCTGAGCAGTACCGCATGTGCATCCAGTCCAAAGCCATGAATGAGGCCTCTCATTCACACCTGGGAATGCTGGTCTTCAGGGAAGAGATAGAAACACATCTTCGCAAACAGGCTTACAAGACAAACAGCGAAGCTGTTGGTTAACATAATCATTGACACATTAGTCTGAACCACAAACCAACACTATTTAGCCTTAATTCCAGTTCCAGATGCAGTGCCTCTTTCAGAGAAGACATGCTTATCTTTTGTGTTCTTTTTAATATTACTTTAACAGTTTAGCTGTATATGAGAAGAAAAAGCAAGTGTTTCAATGCAAAGCCTCTGTTTTGTGAGAAGTCTGCACTATGGAATTATTAACGAATCAAAATCTGGCGTTTGTCCCAAAAGTAGTTTTGAGTTAGTTTCTACCCTGCACCCATGTTCTGATGTGTCCTGGTTGCATCTGGACTAAGGAATGGAATGTGTTGTGCTGACAGCAGGTCAGTAGCATCCTGTTCCCTGCAGAAAGAACTGACTGTTATGGATGGAGTGTGTAGACTGGGGTTCTTCTCCTGCCAACTACTGAGTCAACCTGCTTGGTTTTTAAATGAAGGTCTTTGGTCAGTTGGTTGAAGAATTCTTTTTCACTGAAGCAGAGGATAATATAGTGACAAATTTGAAATCTCTAACCAACCAAGAGAAAACAGAAATTAAAAACTCTTAGCTTAATGTTGCTTAGCTCCCTAAATGTTTGTTTTTAAACAAATGGTTAATAGTAAGAAATACCTAGGTTAGAGTATATGACAGTTAAAAATATAAAGTGTTATTTTTGTCATATTCAGGATTAGAAGTCAAAGTTGCTATAGACTGTTTGAAACAGACTGAAATCAACATGGAAAAGTTTTTAATAGAATATTTGATTATGTTGGGTACAGGACATCAGTGGTGTCTGAGAATATCATTTTACGTGAGCTAGGGCTCTGTCAAGGCCTTATGGTGGGTGGTTCAGAATAGATGAGCATATCATGGTGCTGTGTGTTTTTTGCTTTGTGTTTAGCATAGATCTCATTTAGCATGGATCCATATATATTTATTATGCTTTTTCCCTAATATGTTAATATATGCTACATCTGTATTTGCATTATTATAATAGTTTGAGTTGAGAGTTTCACTGAAGGGAGAAAAAAACAATTTAATGAAGTATACTATAAAATTATACTGATTTGAGAAAAGGAAAGGAAAGACAGTAGTATCAATGGAAATCTGAATTACAGAGTATTTTAGAGATATATATTACTTGCAGATAGAATGATGTTTTAATTGAAATATAAATTATATTAAACAAGATAATAAATTATATTCAGATAGGACTATACTATGTTATTTATCACACATGGATCTTTTACCATAGCGTCAATTGCTAGATCCTGAAATTGGAGATATGGTAAAAGGCATGCATAGATTTTTAACATTCGTACTTTAAAAGAGACCTATGTTGTATTCTTTCTATCTGTATATAAACCCCATGAAAATTCACAGAAGAAAAATCATTACTCTTTTGACTCAGTAAATCATATCCTCTGAAATATTATAAATCCCAAATTTCTTGGTGCTACATGAATTCAATTTTATAATCTTACTGATTATTCTTAAAAGTTTTAAGTTGGGGTAGCACTTAGGCTTTTTTTTTTTTAGTATGTGTAAAATGTTCTCTGCAAAGTTATTCAGGCCCTTGTCACCTTTTACATTTTTATTATGAAGACCAGTATTTATTATGAAGACCAGTGAATTATAGTATTTACAGTGAGCGAACCTATTTGCAAAGGTAAGTTTTTTGACAAAATCAAATGATTTTACCTTTTCTCTCATTTTTTTAAACTAGGTTTTAACTTAAAGATGGAAACTAAGCAATGGAAACATTACTATGTATTTGACATTAAAAGGTACCAATAAAGTATTTTATTACCAAAAGTTAAATGACAATATGATCATTTCTTTCTGTTGCAAAATATCATAAGTACAGAAATGTGTATAACATAGAATTGTGTACTTTAAAGAATTATAAAGCGAAAGCCAGGGCATCAGCTACCCAGATTAAGATATAGAACATTACCAGTGAAAGACTTTTATGTGTCCCTTCTCAATCACATACTCACTCTCTCCATAATAACTACTATCCTGAATTTGGTGGTAATTTTTCACTTGTTTTTCTTCTTAGTTTTCCCAACTGTGTATATGTCTCTACCCAATGGACGGTTTAGTTTTGCCTGATTTTGAATTTTTGTACATATTATTTCATTATACATTTTTAACTTTCATTCAGTATTGTTTTTGAGGTTATCCATATCAATCTCAAAATTAATTCATTTTTATTACTGACTAGTATTCCACTGTATGAATATAGTCATGCCCCACATAAGGATATTTGTGTCAATGGCAGACCTCATATATGATAGTGATCCCATAACATTATATTAGTGCTGACATATTCCTATCATCTAGTGACGTCAAAATGCCAGAATCACTGTCTTGACTAGGGGAGCACACCGTTGCCTTTTGAACCAACTGTTCCTCAGATGTTTATTGAAAACTTACTATATGCCTAACACTGTTGTAGACACTGCGAGTGCAATAGTGAACAAGAATAGTAGAGCTTACTTACATTGTAGTTCTTTCTAGAAGTCATAGCACATATTTGTGGTGATGCTGGTGTAAACAAATCTACACTGCCGGTCATTAAAGTTTAGCACATACAATTATGTATTGTACATCATACTTGCTAATGATAATAAACTATGTTACTGGTTTGTGTATTTTTTATCGTTATTTTAAAGCATACTCCTTGTTAAAAAAAAAAGTTTGCTGTGAAACTATGCGGTATTCTGCCTGATACATCTTGTGGTTACTGCTTCTCTTGATTACATCATTTTCTCTTGTGCTTGATTTAATCTCATGTTGCTTTTTAAATTTAGTGTAGCCTAAATATATATAGTGTTTATAAAGTCTACAGTAGTGTACAGTAATGTCCCAGGCCTTCACTTGCACTGACCACTCACTCATTGACTCATCCAGAACAGAGCAACTTCTAGTCCATGGTAAGTGCCCTATACAGGTATACCATTTTTTACTTTTATACTGTAATTTTACTGTACCTTTTCTATATTTAGATATGTTTAGGCAAATACTTAACTATTGTGTTACAGTTGCTTATAGTATTTAGTGCAGTAATGTGCTATCCAGACTTGAAGCCTAGGAACAACAGGTTATACCATAAAGCCTAGGTGTGTAGTAGGCTATACCATCTAGGTTTGTGTAAGTGCACTCATGATGTTGGCACAATGATGAAATCACCTAACGACCCTTTTCTCAGGAGGTATCCCATCGTTAAGTGACATGTGACTGTATACTATAATAATCTGCTGTTTTAGATACTTGGTTTAGTAATTTTTTGTTGTTTGCTTGTTTGCTTTTGCTACCACAAGCATTGGTATGAATACGGCTTTACATGTCTCTTAATAGTATGCAAGAATTTCTCTAAGAGTGTTGATGCTAGGTCATCAGTTGTGTGCACAACCAAAATACTTTCCTAAGTGGACCACCTCCAGTACTGTGAGAGAGTTTACTTAGCATTCTTGGCAGTACTTAATTTTGTCAGGCTTATTAATTTTTGCTAATCTAGTGGGCTTTAGACATAAATTATAGTTCTAATTTATATTTTCATGTAGCATATATTAACATATTAGGGAAAAAGCATAATAAATATATATGGATCCATACCTGAGAGTCCTGGATATGTTGGGTTAGATCTTTGTGAGAGTTTTGGCACTCCTTCACCTTCCTCACAGTATCATGACTTCCTTTTGGGGAATAAAGGTTGAAATTGTGTTAGCACAATGTAAGACTACCAGCCTTTAGGTTTTTGAAAGTAGTTTTGAATCCCAAATTTGTGGGAATATTTATATACTGGTTAAATTTAACATTTAAGTGACTCTTTGGTAATGTTAGAATATATTTGCATTGACCAGGACTTCAGCTATTCTTTTGAGAAGGGCACTTATAATCATTTGTTTCACTTTTCCCAGAAGATTCTACTCTCTGCAGGAAGAATAGTATTCGGCGTCAACAGAATTGCCACTGCAAGTACCCAACAAACACTGACTGCTTCTAAGGAACCAGGTGTCATACTTCCTGCCATATAACATTACAAAAACCCCATGAAATAGAATATTGTAATTCCATTTTAATCATGAAAAGATAGAAGCTTAAAAATATAAACAGAGGTTCCAGTCAAGATGGTGGAGTAGGTGGATTCTGTACTTGCCTCCTCCTATGACCACGTTAAAATTGCAAGTAAAATACAGAACAATCAACCTGGAATCCTAAAATGAAGGATATAAAGAAGAAGCCACCTCGAACCTGATTGGAGGGATCGAGACAGGCAACAGGCTATCCCTGCACCCACATGTGGCAGTCAAGAATCGGGAGAGAGATCTAGGCTGCACAGGTCTGCCTGAACAGCGAGGGGTCCCAACTCCACACTGGGCTCCTCAACTTGGAGCACCAGTACTAGGAAGAGCAGCACCCACAACATCTAGCTGTGAAAATCAGCTGGGACTTCATCCAGTTGAGATAAAAAGTGGCTGGAAACACAGGCGTCATCTTACAGGATCCAGACACAACTCGCTCACAGGCACTTGCCTTGGGCTCTGGCAGAGGAGGGGCAATTGCTTGGAAGGTGCCAGAGACATACAGAGAGAAACAGTTCTGTGGCTTCACAAGGAGGGCTGGAAAGAAAGTAGCCATTGTCCCTATGTTGAGCCCTCTTCCCATGTGGCAGTGGGCAGTCTCTATCTTTCCTGTGTTGGGCCCTCCTCACACATGGCCAAATCTAGATTTTCGTTGACTTGGTGAACCCTACTCACTCTACCCTGGTGACTCCCTGGGACTTTGCCCCAACAGAGGCTTTTTCTCTGCTGGTAGGCAGCCATTGTTTGCCTGCACTGCAGTTCCTTTTGGACAACCCTCAAGGGTCCATGACTCCAAGCAGGTAGCAGCAGGCCTCGGTGGGCTCTAAGTTTTGTGGGGCTTCCCCAGGATCAGCACTGGTGCCAAACCTGAATCTGCATTAACTCATCAAACACCACTTTGCCCCTATGCCAGTGACTCCCTGAGGCCCACCCAACTCCCTTACCACCTAAGGCATTTCAGCATCTGAGCATTATGGACACTTGGCAAGGAGCAGGCCTAGAGTTTCCCTGGGCCTTTTGTTGAGCTTCCTCAAGCCCGGTACTGGTGACGGCTGGCTTCGATTCACATTGTGGGCTCTCCCACACACCTCCAGGTCCAGGACAGGCAGCGACCAACAGGATCACAATGTAGCTCCTACCAGATACCCCTGGACCAGTGACAGGCCACCAGTGGATCTTGGCTTGCACAGGCACCCCTTCCAAGAGGTGCCAAAACCAGTACACCTGGTGACCAGCTTCAAACCATAACACCATCTGATTAGCCCCAGAAGATGTACACCCAAAGATTGGTCTCAGCAGGCACTAGAGCCCTCTGGGATGAATCCCACTCCCTGAGAACAGCCCCTGCACAGCAGCTATGGTCATGACCAATCCTCACAACCAGTAAGCCTGAGGGTCAATATCACCCACTGACATGCCAACAGCAACCAAGCCTCAATTACAAGAGGGTACACACAACACACAAGGGACACTTTTGGAGCTTCCAGATCAGGTGACCAGGGCCGCTGGCCCCTACAGAATAACTACTACATAATGCCACCCTACCAACACTGGGAGACATAGCAGATCTATCTAATACACAGAAATAGGCAGCCAAAATGAGGAAACAAACAAAAAATGTGTCCAAATGGAAAGAACAGGAGAAAACTCTAAAAAAAAGAACTGAAGAAATAGAAGCAAGCAATCTTCCAGAAACAGAATTCAAAACAATGGTTTTTAAGAATGCTTAAGAAACTTAACGAGAACCTCAACGAAGAGATAGCAAGCATTAAAAAGGATATAGAAACCATAAAAAAGACCAGTAAGAAACGAAGAATATACTGGAAGGAATCAACAGCAGATTAGATGAAGCAGAGGATCAAATCAGCAATTTAGAAGACAATGTAGCAGAAAATACCCAGTTGGACCAACATCATAAAAAAAAAATTTTTTTTAAATGAGGATCATTTAAGGGGACTCGGGGAGAACATCAGGTGTACCAACATTTGCATAATAGGAATACCAGAAGGAGAAGAGAGAGAGCAAGGACTCAAAAACCTATTTCAAGAAATAATGACTGAAAACTTCCCTAAGCTGGTGAAGGAAGTAGAAATACAAGCCAAGGAAATAGACGTACAAACCCAAGAAATGCAAAAAGTCTCAAACAAGATGAGCCCAAAGAGGCGCACACCAAGACACTTCATAATTAAAATGCCAATGGTGGAAGACAAAGAATCTTAAAAGCAGCAAGAGAAAAGCAGTTACCTACAAAGGAGCCACCATAAGATTGTCAGCTGATTTCTCAATAGAAACTTTGCAGGCCTGAAGGGATTGGCACAAAATATTCAAAGTGATAAAAAGCAAGGGCCTACAACCAAGACTACTCTACTCAGCAAGACCATCAATTAAAATCAAAGAAGACATAAAAAACTGCCCAGACAAGAAAAAGCTAAAGGAATTTATCACCACCAGACTAAGATTACAAGAATGTTAAAAGGACTTCTTTAAGAAGAAGGGTGGGGGGAGAACATAAATATGAATAACAAAATGGCAATGACTATGTACCTACCAATAGTCACTTTAAATATAAATGAATTAAATGCTCCAATCAAAATGACATAGGGTAGTTGAATAGATAAGAAAACAAGACCCGTACATATGCTGTCTATAAGAGACCCACTTCAGATCAAAAGACACACACATACTGAAAATAAAGGGATGAAAAAGGATAATTCATGCAAATAGAAATGGAAAAAGAAATCTGGAGGGGAAATACTTATATCAGACAAAATAGACATTAAAACAAAAGCTATAATAGACAAAAAGAGACATTACATAATGAATGATAAAGGAATCAATGCAACAAGATGATATAATCCTTGTAAGCATTTATGCACCCAACATAGAAGCACCTAAATACATAAAGCACATATTGACTGACATAAAGGGAGAGATCAACAGTAATATAGTCATCGTGAGGACTTTAACACCCCATTGACATCAAGGGCTAGATCTTCCAGACAGAAAACCAGCAAGGACATGGCAGCTTTAAATGACACATTAGATCAACTGAATTTCATTAATATTTTTAGAGCATTTCACCCCAAAGCAATAGGATATACATTCTCTTCAAGTATACATGGAATGTTTTCCAAAACAGACCACATGTCAGGCCAAAAAAAAAAGTCTCAATAAATTTAAGAAGAATGAAATCATACCAAGCACCTTCTCTGTTCACAATGATCTGAAATCAGAAATCAGTTACAGGAAGAAAATGGAAACACACAAACACATGGAGACTAAACATCATGCTACTAAACAATGAATGGGTTAACAGTGATTGCAAGGAATAAATTGGAAGATACCTTGGGAAAAATGAAAACAAAAACACAATGACCCAAAATCTGTGGGCACAGCAAAAGCAGTCCTGAGAGGGAAATATAACAATACAATTGCATCAAAAAATACTTAGGAATAACTTTAACCAAGGAGGTGGAAGACATGTACTTGAGAAATTATGTCATTAAAGAAAGAACCTGAAGAAGATACAAATCAGTGGAAGCATACCGTGCTTATGGATAGGAAGA